AAACTTACCGGGTACAAAGAGCGTCAAAAAGATCCCTGGCATAGGCGGACTGATCGGGCAGGTATGCAGTGTAACCAAGTTTTTGTTTGTATACAACGACAAACCTGCCCTGACCAATCAGGCAACTTATTGCCTCTGGTATGTAGCTGTGGAATGAATAAAAAAGATCAACATGAAATTATAGTGGGAAATACCTTTGGAACTCTTAAAAAATCGATTTATTTTTTGTCATTGGCTGTTTGTAAACCAAAACTGACTAACGCAACGACGATTACATTTTCCTTGGGCTATCAGATAAAATTAATATCCCCGTTATCATCTAGCAAGGCCAGAAAACAAAAAATAAAGAACACGGCACTTACTCTGAGCTCTCGACGGAGGTGCAGTAGTTTTCGGAATCGAGCGTAAAAAGGTGGAAGCCATATTCATGAAGACCTATTTAAGGCAAATACAGAATGATCAGAAAATACTTATGGAAATAAGTAGGTATCTATCTCGTAGCATCTCACGAATGCAAATCAGATACCGGTGGTGGCCCCGTGATGGACTAACACCGCATTCGGGGGGAGGGGGGTGGGGGGCGCAGATAAGCACCGGCCTGATGGGTCACTAGATTCGAATGCATTTTTTCTTTTTACTTATATTTACCTTCATAGGTAAGACAATTCGGTAGCTTCACAGAGATTGGGATTGTCTCAGGAACTTCATGAATGGCTGGAACAGATAAAAAGAAGTAAAATTACACGATAAGTATGAGTACTCTGACTGTGAGAAATAGTTCTACATACACACTTAGCAAAGTCAACGCTTGTAATTACAAGGACAAAAATGCGTATTTAAGGCGTAATACAATGAACAAAGCTATATTTCTACAGCTAACTGATAATTTCAGCGCGATTTAATTAGTCAGTGTCAAAAAATGATTATTGATGTTTTATATGTGATAATGGTTACCTTCCTGGTTCGTACAGTCACCAAGTACAGTGTTGGGTGTATCAACTGGCTGAGGAAGAACTTCAGGAATTGCTAAAAGAAGTATCAAACATAACAACATTAATGTCGATTTATCGAGCTAGAAAAATTACAACAGATAGATTTAGCTATTAACAGCTGTCCGTAAATAATGAAATAATTTTAGGCCTTACGACCGATGTGCTTCAAACAGACACAGGCTCAACACCTGTTGGTGTATTTTGTAGTATAGGTAACATTTAATAAATAAGACTCGTATAACTGCATGGACAATTGCGGACTAAACCTGTCAGTCACAAGAGGACCTTCGGCGCTAAGTCGATTGAGCTACGAGCACTCGCCTTTTAAGGTATCGAAAACAAAAACACATTGGAAAGTATATGTAGAAAATCTAGGCTCCCTCATCGCATGTGATTCAGTTTTAGTTCTCAGTAATAGCTCCTGGTAGGTAGAAAGATAAATTGTTTTTAAGTAAACTGGATACCTTTCAATGTGGATGTTGGTTTGCTGAAAACCAATTCCTCGTCTGGGAAGTTCTTCCCCCCCCGTCAAAAAGCCAAGTAAGGAATATTCCTGGTGAATATTCTCATATATATGTTTGATGTTCGTGGCACCCTTAGATGTTGTGGGGTGATTTTCGGTTGGTTTTTGTGGTATGGGGTAATTTTGTATTGGCTTTTTGACGGGTCGAACGCCATATAAGGATGTTGTAAGGCGTTCACGGCCATGCTGTATCTTTGGTATCTAACGAGAAACAAATTTCTAAACGTCAGCACTTTTAATGGACGAAGGAGTGTTATATAGCCTTGTATTATGAGCTACAAATTTAGATTTAAGATAAAGTCAACGAGGTCAAAATTAAAAGATATTCTCTGAGGGCTACTTGTGTCTGTATTTGAGTACAAATAGAAACGTTGTAAATCAAAACCATAGAACGTTAAAATAATTACGAGTGTACTCATACATAAAGGAATGAGAAGTGAACAATATGATTAGTTTATCAGCCAAAGGTGAAGGCCCGGGGTTTCAAGTTGTTTGGCTTGGCGATCACGCAAATGAAACTGTGCGCATTACAAGAAACTATTCTACTCGCCTCTCTCTCGTTTTTCAGCATAATTCAGATACGTCAATCGGGCAAGGTTCTCTCCATATTATCGGCAGAAAACGTTTAAGAATTGTTTTGATCCTTTCAATAGGGCGTTTTTCACGTGACGTCGCCTTGTTCCGGCCCGTTCCCGGCAAAGAATGTAACGTGTTATGTGCCGTGTCTGAAAAATTTGCTGAACCAAGACTACAGGGAAAGTGATGGTTTAAAAGAAACCCGGGGTTTTTCTTTTGCCTTTTGAAGCCGGAATAGGTTTGGCGCATACTCAGCAACCCTTGCAGTTAACAAAAACTGAACTAGCATTCACGAAAGTACAACGTGCTTGAAAATCAGCGAGCGTAAATAATTTAGGAGTCGTGTCGTAGAAAATAGCGCGCTTGAAATGCTCAAAAACTTTTTAAGTTTCCATATTCATACAGTTTATGGTGTTTGAATAATGTTAAGTACTGAAGGCAGACGCAATAAATATTATGTATTTGGTGTGATCAAAATGCAAGCTGTTTTGTTTTATGCAGTGGACATATCTTTTATTTTCTGTGTTCAACAGAAGTTGCACGCGGATGTGATCGTTGGGTTTGAATTTATTTTAGACACCAGGTTTCCAGCAATACAGTTTCGTCCCAGATCTCGTGCAACTTTCAAATTTGGGTGGCGTGTGCATTGACGTCACAAACCCTAACGGGTGTTTTTTTTTTTTAATAAAAACCGTTTAAATATGCAGTCACAAAAAAGCCCGACTTCTTCACGAATTCTGAGAAAAGTTCAGATTTATTTGAACTTTGCTCACCTTTCTCCTTTTCCGGAAGCTCAAAGCTTCATTTCTACTAAATACGCAGCCCATAATCTCTCTAAATTGCCAAGCGAACGTCGTAAAGTTCACCCTGCAAGAGACAACGAGAAAATGACGATTCTTGCCAACGGGCGTCCTTTTATACCTGAATCCATTGTGACGTAATAGAACGCGCTGAGCTGACGACAGCCTAGGTTCAAACTGACACAACAGGCGGCGATTGGTCGATAAAATGCGTCCATGTGACTATCACGTTAGACTGTGCAAGCCAACGCTTTCGCAGCGTTTCACCATGGATACTAACCATAGTTTCACTTTGAATCCTATTTTTAGTTTTATTGCTCTGATTTTCTAGCAGTCAGTGGGTGTTTTCCAGAATAAAACACGGCACAGACAACTTTGTTTTGTAAATAGAGTCCTTGATAACTCACGATAGAACATGTGCTTTACTGACATTCATTTTGGAAACTTGAAACTGTGCTTGAAACTTTTCTGTCTTACACGTACTCCATAAAAGCAAAAGTTTGTCTACTGAGATAATGGACACGAGAGTTCTGTTTTTAATTCTCTTTTACTTTACTTTGCCGCCTTTCTGGATATTATCTGATGTGTTTAAGACTATTTTGTGTGTGGTTTTTGGTAAAATCTTCCAAAAAGAGCAAAACCTCTCTAAGTTGCCAAAACAAGACAAGTGATTTTTTTTGCCGGTATTTAAACGTAAATCACTGGGTTTTTTTCAATTATTTTGCACTCGCTAAACGTTTTGTTTATTCCCGAACGGAATTCAGAATGGCGGTGAATGCAGAAAAAGCAGGATTCTATTGATTTTTTTCTATTGACTTCAAAACTTTAAAGAAGCTTGAGATATGTGGTTTTGTTGCGTGAAATCAGTTCCAAATGTAAAAAGGTGAGCCAACTATCCCGGCTCTAGCTTTACTGTTTGCAAAGCGATAAGAATTGCCTAAGTCTGGTTTGTTTGCTTAATTGTATTTTTGTCTTCAATCTGTGAGTGTTGTTTGTCTTGTTCGTAATTATTTCAAGGAATCGAAGTTGTCTTTTACAGTCAGTGTTCGGCCATTTTTCTTTCGTCAGAGCAAACAGCAGTTAAAACCGTCTATGAAACTAGTCAATCTGGTTCAGAAAGGGTTAGTAGAGCTTTGTACTGGGTTATACAGAATAATATCGGGCCCATAATTTTTTTTCGTGTACGGTGGGTTAACAACATCACAGTTCTATGACCGCTTGTATAATAAAATAAAATAATTCTAAATAACTTGCTATTTCCCTGGCTGTGTTAAATAAGATACCAGGCTATCCCCATAAAATGCTTTCTTTCCCCACGCGCTCTCTCTCCTAGTGAGTCGGCCGGTCGGTTAGAATTTAAATAAAATAAATTAAATGTGGGCAGAAGAAGTGTTAACAATACGTCTTACATTTTTCCAAGCGACTCAGTTTCTCATCATCTCTTTCAAAGATGCTCGAGAATATCATTACGAGGGCTCATTACATGCCGGAGTTACTTGAAGATATATATGAAACATATTAAACTTGAGAACGCCCGAAAAATAAAAAATGCTAGCAGACAAAGAATCTAAATCAGATTTTTTTCTTCTGTTTAAAATGACTGTGAATGAAACTAGACTTTTTATGAGGATAGTCTTCACAGTATTCCAACATTACTTACTTTGTTTTTAGCGCAAAATCAGAAGAAAATCTCCAGTAAAAAGAAAAAGTGCCAAGTTCTCGCTTTCTGGTCGTCTTGAACATGTCTGCATTTTATACTGCTTCAGCAGGTCTGTAAGGTCTTCGAGACACAATCAAAATGGTTGCCTTATCGTGCCTCGCTTCCCTGCAAACCTCGTTTTCCTGCTTAGAACCTCATTCAGCTTCATTTTCAGGTGTCACAAACGAGGGACTGCAAAAAAATCCTCTCGTAGAACTAAAAGCACTCAAAGTGGAATCAGCAATATTCTTGATCAGCATGCCAAGGCGAGCGTCTAACTAGTAAGCTAAAATGTCTGCTCCTACCCAAAGAGGTTCACCAAAAAATATTGTTTTGCGAAAATAATTTTTGAAAGATCCTCACGGTTGAAGATCCTGGTAACGAGCTATTATGATAAGATAGTTTCCAGTGCCGTGACCGTTGTAAAGAAAATTGGCGGCCTGGTTGAGTTCTCGAATATCCAGACGAAGAGTCTTCATTCCTGTAAAACGTGGCTAAAACGCTCGTTAATGAATGTTTATCTGACATGATATGTGGATAAATGATGAGCGCCCCAGCACTCAGTCTCACAAGGAAACCAAGCTTAACTCAAGAAAGAGAGAAACTCGAGAAAGACCAGGTATATTTGGTTCAGCATGTCATAATATATTGGTTGTTTACTTTGTCGTGATTCAAGCGTGATTCATTATGATTTTGCGACAGTTTTATTCCATCTTACATTTTTACTGTTTTGTTCTTTAAAAACTGATTTTAGGATTTCTTATTCATGTGATTCAACCTAACCAGTGACAAAATGCGGCTTGGAAGCAATGTCGATGCATGTTGTATACACAGCATATTTCAATTTCATGACGAAGTGCATGCTCATACAGTTATTTTTAGTTGACGCTGCGGAGGGTTGCAGATTTGTAGTCATACGTTGCTGATGGTTAAAAAATGTGTGAATTTTCATTCATGTTTTCCCCTAAGATCAATATACAAGTATAGTAAACACTGTTGTCACATGATTGAGTTTGACATGGACTTGACACATACTATTAGTGAAACCTGTTATTATTAAATAATTAATCTTTGGCTATTTGGCTTTTCAGGTGGGGGAGCTTATTTTAAATAATAAATCAATTAGCTCACATTAAAGCAGATACAGGAGATGCACATTTTAACAACATTTCATCACCAGATACATCATACAGCCCTCTCTTAAACAGTAATGTAATTACTGCCATTTGAAAATGTGTGCTTCCCACATAATTGCCAAATTAAAAGACAGCCAGTGGTAGCCTAATGGCTTGAGTATTTCCATATTGTTTTAAAAAATACAGAACAACTTGTTAATGTGTTCCTTATTGTTTGCATTGAATACAGCAAGAAGCCATAGCAAAAGCTGTCAACAATGTTGAATCTGCTGTGAAAGAGAAGCACATTAGAAATATCCTTTTACATACTTATGATAATTTTATCAAGATAGTCCAACAGAGAAACTAGCTAAGGCAGATAATATCATGTGACTTTTCTTTTTAATATAGATAATCATTATTTGAGTTTCTCTATTTATCTTTTTGTTTGTTCTTTCCCTCCTGTATTCTTGTTTTTAGCAATAAGATTAAGAATGTATGTGTGGGAGCATTAAAAAGTGGCCCAAATTTAGAAAATCACTGTGTTAAGCATATAAATGCAGACTACTCATAGCCAAGTTATAAATATTTCCTTGAAATAAACTTGTTGTAGGGCAGAAAAAGTATGGAGTGAGGGATGAGAAGAGATTGGGACAAGATGAGGTGTTCATTTAAAGACACTCGTGCTCGTGGGGATTGTAAACAGTTGTGACCAATGATTGTTTACAACTGTTTATCATAATAATATTGTAGATAATTTTGTGGCCAGCTCATGTACAGACCAACACAAATTTGTGTCAAATTTATCACATACATGTATAAATCTTTGACTTTGTCCAAGTGCAATTATTGGAACATGGCAAGAGAAAGGAGCCTCCATTTTCTGGAACTCCTTAGGGCACATGCCCCTTCCATCACAAGTCATTATGTGTTGGAAGGCCATGCTGGTTATCCACAAACTGTTAAGAGAAGGACACCCAAATGTAAGTACTACAGGACATCGTCAGGCCACCTTAAGGTTATGTGTGCATGTTGCTGTCAGTAGCGTATTCAGTGTAATAAGAAATCTGATATCACTGCCTTTATTTATATTCATGTTTAGGTTTTATATCGATCATCTTAGGACATGCTTATTCAATGTTCAGTCTTTTAAAAAGGAGAATGAAAAACCCTGATAAGGAATTGAATTTACTGTATAGTCATTGTAAGTTATATATTTCATTGCTGTATGGTGTAATTAATGTGGTGTAATTGCCTTGAAAAGGGCTTCAGAGAAAGTTTACATCGATATGTTAATAAAGATGGTTCACAAATTTTAAGCTTGGTAATGAAATGTGAAAGGTGAGTTGATCAACAGGACTCAAACAGGGGACAAAGAAAAAATCTGAGTCCCAGAATCAATAAAGCTCTCCATGAGTTCTTGTAGCTCAGTGGATAGAGCACCTGCCTGCTGTTCAGGAGGTCATGGGTTCGATTCCTGTTAGAGACTCAGATTTTTTTTCTTTGTCTCATGCTCATGTCATGTTGATCAATTCACCTTTCACAGAGTTAAAATTCTCTCATGTGTGCCCTCTACAACCTTCCAGACTGCAACAGCAGAACTACGTGTCAGAAAAAATAATTATATTGAAGTAATACTTATAAATATTGCATTATCAGATGGCTTGTGTTTGAAGCCGATATAACTCATGCTCTGATTGGCTAATTCTATAGCATTTCTCCCCCATACAACCCTCCAAGTTGCGACCATTTTAATCACCATGGCGACTAGAATTTTGGAGCTGGCGACTAAATTAGAATGCAAGTCGCCAGCTTGGCGACTAAAATTAACGTGACTTATGTGTTAGGAACTTGAGCGGACTATCATCCGGAGCAAAAAGAAAAACTTTCTGAGCATTAAGAATTCACTTTGCAAAGTTAGTTGTTGTGGGAGTTTAACCAACATGGAGACTGAATAAAATGAAATGTTACTCAGTAAACAAAGATCAAGGAATTGCATTCAGTTGAGCTTGGGACGCGACGAAATTCGTTCCACTTGACTGAACTTTGGCA